GGCTGAAAATCTGCATGGTGGAGCCTGATTAGAGCAAGTGGGTAGTCCAATCGACATTTGGGATCGTGAAGTATGGTGGTGTGACCCCAATCCCGGTGAATCTCGGCCGCCGCTCTTGATCGTGGGTTCTGAGCTTCTGGCCGTGGAGACGCATTTATTGCTCTGATAGTTGGTGACCTTTTCTCTTAAGCTACAAGGATTCTTGTGAGAATGTCTACGTCTAATCACTCTGTCTTCTGTCGCCAAAACCTGACTTCAGTCACTTCCCACCTTCCATCGTGCATTAAATACTTATTTGTGGCCAGTGGGTTTGCTGCATTAAACAGGCACTACTTCATTAAATGAAGCATGGGTCCCTGCTATCATGTGATGATCTGACTTTAATATTTCTGGCCTCGATTTTACTCGGCCTCGGCCTCGGCCCGCAACCGAGGCCGAGATGAACATGCCTTAGCGTTTTTCTTTTGTCTTCAGGAAGGCAAAGTACCTTGGCGAAACGCTGTGTTTTAGCTTCTCGAGAAAGTGCTAGGGTCGAGAAAAAGGGGCTCCTTCGGCCAGCTCATGGCCGTGATTTATTAGGCACAAACAGAACCCATAACACACCTTAGAGGCCCGAGGAATTAGGTAGGGAACCAACATGTGAAGACCTCTTGAAAAACGCGTGGAAGAAAACAACACAGCAGCACTGGCGACCGGTTGCTTTACACTCTGCCTGAAAGCGACCAATCGCTTGCACCTTGCGACCGGTCGCTTTTCTCGACTTCCAGCTTCTCCTCCAGACTTCGAATCTGCTTCAAAATGACCGGTCGCTTTTCCCTTGCGACCAATCGCCTCCTCCTTCACTTGCATACTAAATGTGAGCCAATTTTACAACAGACCTGATAAAGAGTACCTCAGATATAGATGGAAGCCAACTGGATGTGACCTTCCAAGGTAAAACAGTTCCTCTTCTTACAGGGGTTTTATTCTTCTTTGATATCATTTCACGATCGTCATAAATAAAACTGTTTGTACCACATTACTGACTAAATCTCTCAAAACACGATATGTAACGTTTATATATATATATATATGTGTGTGTGTGTGTGTGTGTGTGTGTGTGACATGTTTTGCAAATGGAGCACAGATTCAATGGTGAGGACATGCTGAGGAGGTTAAAGGGGAAGAAGATGTTATTCGTAGGGGACTCTCTAAGCTACAACTAATAGCAGTCACTAGTATGCATGTTGCATATGCTGATGTGCCTCAAACCAATTATACTCTCACAAGCAAAGGTGGCCTCTCCACGTTCTATTTGCCTGTGAGTTTTCTGCGTCCTAAATCAATCAAAAAAACTTATTGACTTAATCCATTCTATTTATCATACATTTTTAATAATGGAGTGGATCTTTTGATTTTGTTGACAAGAGTCCGACCCAGGCTTATAAGATGTGAATTTTGCAGGATTATGGAGTTTCTGTGTCGCTATCCCGAAATCAATTTCTAGTGGATCTAGTCAAAACAAAAATGGGCAGGGTTTTGAAGCTTGACTCCATTGAAAATGGCAAGACATGGAAAGGATACGACTTGCTTATCTTCAATACTTGGCATTGGTGGCTCCATACGGGAAGGCTACAATCGTGAGATACATACAAACCTCAAAATATATGATACGTTAAATAGTCTGATAATTGAATTGTTTTATGTGGGATAATTGTTTTATGTGGGAGTTTTAGGTGGGACTACATTGAAGCAGGAGGAAAGGTGCTCAAGGATATGGATCGTTTGGATGCTTTTAGGGAGGGATTAACTACTTGGTCCAAGTGGGTGAAACTCTAATGTTCATCCCAACAACACCAAAGTTTTCTTTCAAGGCATTTCTCCAACCCACAATAACTATGTCCTCATTAATTATTTTCTGTTTTAAATATTAATTAATTATAAATTACAATATCTTGGTTTAATTTCTCCCAGAAAAAAAAAAGGAAAAGAAAGGTATTAATCTTTTTTTTTTCGGTAGTGGAAAAGAATGGGGCTCAAATTCAACAACTTGCAATGGAGAAACTCAACCTATAAGTGGCTCAATATATCCAGGAAGCTCTCCACCTGCAACAACTGTGGTCAACGATGTGTTGACTAAAATGTTCCAGTAACTTTGCTGGACATAACTTTACTTTCGCAGCTGAGAAAAGATGGGCACCCTTCTGTTTATGCCGGTGATGGAAAGAAGGGAAATGACTGTAGCCACTGGTGCCTTGCTGGTGTCCTTGATACCTGGAATGAACTTTTGTATGCAATTCTTGTGACTAAGTAAAGACTAGGGAGGAGATGATGATACAATAAATAACTTGGTCAATCAAAATAAAAAGTGTCAAAAACAGATGCTAAAAGTAATTCTTATTATATACTACATGTTGGGTTTTATTCTGCGGGCACAACTCTTTTAGTTCATTTAATAACAACCATATCTCATTGTTTCCCATAGGAAAAAAAAAACAAACAAAAAAAAACTATAACCATCAACATTATCATCTCCTCTCACTCTTTAAATTAGGGCTGGACACAATTTGGTCTAGTCGATTATTTTGTACAAATCAGCCACCAAACTAATGTCCTCGGCAACCAAAAGTCGAGAATCGAGACTGACCCAACACGAGCATATACCGACCACTTCTAAAATTTTGGTTGGTATAAAACTCACTACAATACCAGAGGAGTTTCAACCTTAGTATAAGCTCATGTTTGCGGCCACTATAATTAGAAATATTAGTGGTGGGCTCGGTCTGGGTTGGTTCGGTTTTGGGCTCAACCCGGACACCGAACCATGGGCCTTGGTTTGGTTATTTTGGAAATCGAAACCAAATCATATTTGATGAAAACCGACCACTTCAGTTAACCGGACTTAGTGGGTTGGTTT